CAAACATAGAAATGTAACTTAAACGGACTGACTAATAATGTATCTCCCACTGCCAGGAAACAGTTGGAGTATTTAGTTCTGGCTACTTCCCTCCAGACCAGTGCTACATCCCAGCAAATCAAGACAATACATTCCGTCCGAGATCGTGGAGACACTTTGAAAAAAAAAAAGAATGACAACAATATAAAGGACAGAGACAGAAAAAAAAATGCAGTCTGAACTGGACTCCATTAGTGTCTTAACAGATATGTCAGACTTTGCCCTTCAGAGCTCATCCAGTGGTAAGAAAACAAACAAAGCCGTGCTTTCTCTGCTCACAGAAAAGACAAAAAAAGCAATAACACACTTTTACTTCTGCACGGTTCCATCACTTCAGCGAATCGATTCCCAAACCCTGTCCTCTGCCCCATTTGAATATGGAGATTTTGTGCTGGTGGAGCTGTTGTGTCTAAAATGACTGTGTGCTCACAAAGTTATGCTAAACTACCAAAACATAATATGACATTTTACAGGTAAAACACAGCATTCAGGAAGAGGATTCTGACCTTTTCCAATTTAAAACCAGGGCAGAAATTGGCACAAACCTGCACATGCACACAAATACACACAGCTTCTCCAAACATGTCCACCTGATCTACTGCTAACATCTCCTTCTCCTGGTGTTCTCATTCATCAAAGGAGAATCTGATTGTTTTTACACATTATACAATCAGCTGCAGTAACTGGATCCCCTTAGGAATTCCAAAGGGAAATAAAACAAAATACTTTTTTTGCATTGCTGTCCATTGAGAAATGAAAAAAATATAACACAGGAGATTATTAAAAACTTGAATGTTATTGCTTTTAAGAGACAACAAGTAAAGGTTGACGTTCACTCAGCCTTATTGCATTACATGTGTATTGTATTATAACCACATGTAGCGCCCAAATATAAACTTGATCTTAGTTACCAGGCAACAACTTCATTATGTTTTTGTGTATATATATGTGTGTACACTATATGCATCCCAAAGCTCTCTTTCCTTTTGCTAAGTCTAAATATAAATCCATTTTGACAAACCCTAAATAGAATGTTCATAATTCCAAGCCTAAAATCCTGACAGCTACACCCACACATCCAGCTGTCACACCACAAACTTCGCCTGTTAACACACGTCAGCATGTCTGTATGAAGTGTGAAAGATGTGTTTCAAGGATATATTAGTGAGGGAAACGTATATTTGAAAAGCAAAATGAATGCAAATGAAAAATAAAAATTATTTTCCCTAGTATTTCCAATGTTTTTATACAAGTGAAAAAAAATTTATTTTTTTTCCCTAGTATTTCCAATGTTTTTATTTTTATTTAGATTTATTAAGATTATGCTGTGTGGTGTGGATTACTTTGTCTAAAGTAGAGTTTAAGCTTAAGAGAGCGAGAGTGAAAGAGAGAGAATGGGTGAGGCGGGGAGGGGGGGGGTGGTGGTGAATGAACTATTCCTAAAATAAAAGTCGATGAAGTGTTAATCATGAGCCTCCCTCTTTCTATCCAGGCCAGAGTATCAGTCCACAGTTTGACAACACGTGTCACCTTACATTAGGTGGACCAGTGAACAATGGCCTCAGTCAAGAACAGGTGGTGGATACTTGAATATCTTGTTTGTGTATGTCTGTGTGATGGGGGGTGGATTGTCCACCATCTGGAGCACATAGGCAGTCCCAGGTGAGGCGGCAACATGAATGAACTGTGTCTGTCAGCTCACTGACTGCAATGCTTCCATGACACACACACACACACACAATAAAAAAAACAATGAGAGTGTGAAACAAGCCTTTACAAATCAACAACAACCTCCTCACTGTGTTTGGAGGCGGGGCGGGGGTTGGGTAGGGGGAGATGCAAAAAGACTGATCTTTCCAAAAGGGTAAAACATCGCAGAATCTTAAATACTAACATAAAGTAGAGGTTATTCACACTTTTGAATAAAATCTGTATGTGAAAAATGTAAAGTGGCCGAACTATGAGTCATTGCCGTGAACTCTGATAATCCTGAAGAGAACGGTATGTAAAGGCCAACAGCACCTGTCGTTTAGTGGAGAAAAAAAACAAACCCTTTCTGAATGGAAGGATTCTTGTTTTTCTTTTTTCTTATTATTGATTTTGTTCAGGGGCCATAAATCCTAAGCTCTTGATAATATCTATTTTTTATGTACTCACATAAACACTTTGGACATGTACAATTCCTCAAATAGATTAAAAAGGAAAAATAATGTTTTTCCTGGCAGGAGTGTGATCGCTGGTAAGTAGTCAAAAAATAAATAAAGAAATAAAACAAACAAACAAAAAAAAAAACTTGTGTTCCCAGATGAAGCTCAAACTTGGCAATAAAAGCAATAAAAATAATAAAGTAGGAAAACAACACACACTGGCCGTGGACACTGCCCACACACGCTGTCTCATCAACCACTTCAATGGTACCTCCTCGCTCTCTCTCTCGATTTCAGGCTGAGCGGCTTTTTCAGCAGAGCTGTCGGCCACTGCACCTACCCTCTGTCCACTCACCTCCACACCACCTTGTCCCCTCACATCCCACCTCGTCTCTCCACCCTGCTGATTGTCCTCTGCGAGACAATCTTCAAAGCTCGCAGGCAGTTGTCAACCTCAATACTTCACAGAGTGCATTGAAAAATAAAGCTTGGCCGCTTCATGTGGAAGGACAGCTCACACCCCAGAAGCCCTGCTCTGATGTGAGGCTGAGTCAGTTTACATACTGCCTGAAACAATATAGCAATATCCCATGGTGCACCAACAAACGAAAAGTAGATGTCATAAAATACAATGATCTTCTCATTCCAATTTACTAACTCTGTCCTGTACAGTTGAACACATCCCTGATATGCATGCAGGAATTGAAGAAAGGCACACTCGAAGGTCTTCTCCAATAGCGCTTAATTTCTCGCCTTTTCTAGTACTTATAGCCATCTGCTGCCATCTAGTGGAAGAGCAATTTATTCTTCTGCCTGTCACTGTCTAACGAGGACAAATTATGTGCACTTTCAGACTAATTAATTTAATTAGATCATTTTCCATAATGTCACAAAAGAGCAAAGTTGTGCAACACAGTGAGTAGAATGAATACTGAGTACTCTGTGCGCAGGTATGAAATGTTTACTGTAGCCTCAGTACTGCCCGTGCTACTTAGCCTGAGGTTGCAAGGTCTGGAAAAGACCGGATTGAACTGGTAAACTGTTAAGGCAAACGCACTCTCCACTCTTCCACTGTGTGGCTTCATATAATAATTTATTATTATTATTGAGAACATTTGTGGACACTATAGCATTACTGTCTGTGTATGTTTTACATGCAGACTTTCAGATACCTTCACTAATACACCCCTCGAGGTTTAATTTGTTTTACCAAACATTTGTTCTGTAAACAGCTGAAATGAAAATTAAATTCATATTTCTTGCACTTTTGCCTCACACACTAACACGCTCCTCTCTCTCTCTCTCTTTCTCTTTCTCTCCCCTCTTCTTCACTCAGTCCCGGATGTTCCGTGATTGGTTCACAACTCACGTCCATTAAAACTGTGGGGGCGGGACTCAAACAATCCACTCGTGTTCACTGCACTGTGCGCCACAGCGGACCCGGAGCAGGACAGGCAGTAGTAACGGCAGCGGCTGTGTCCACACTGTCACCGGAAGCCAGCTCTTCTCAGTGTCCGACGCTGACAAGTGTGCGTCTCCACAGTCCTGACAAGTCAGCATCTGCATCACAGCTCAAGGCGTTCGTCGATCGAACCCAGAAAATTGTTTTTGCGTCTGGAGGAAGAGAGAGGGGGAGTGAGAGAGAGAGAGAGGACGCGTTTCCGACTGTAAAGGCAAGTCTTCACGGGTCGTGAGGTCGGTGGTGTTCACCCGAATTTCCTCGGACGCACAAAAGACGCACCACCTCCCTTCAAGTCCACTTGGATAGCTGACTAAGCAGTAGGAGCAGCAGCAGCAGCAGCAGGGTCCTGGTCCGGTTCGAGGTCCTGCAGGGAGGGAGAGACGCTGAGGAGTGATAACGCGTGGAAGAAAGGAAGCACAGGAGGATAAAAGGAAGGAAGGGAAGGACCTAAGGAGCGAGAGAGTCTGGTGGAGAAGACAGGATGAATCTGAAGAGTAATTTGATTTTCACCCTCTACACCGTTTATGGGATTCTTCTCAAAGGTGAGTCGTGAACGTGCGTGGTGCTTGTGTGTATGCGTTATGACGCGCGCATGTGATGGATGCGGGGCACACGCGGGTCCTGACACAAACACGCGGTGCTTTCTCTTTCACTCTATCTCCCCCAGCGCCTCTCTCTCTATTTCTCCCTCTGTCTCACACAAACACACACACTTATTATGTGTGCTGCACACGCGCACGTGCGCAATCCGACTGTTCAACATTACATTGATGTTGTTGACGTCCAGGCATCAAGGAGGTGTAGTCGCATCTCCATCCTCTGTGGTTGGATGCGAAAGCCAAGTAATGAGTCAGAGGTTTCCTCCCGCATCCAAGGTGTGTTAAGTCCTGCGTGTGCGTGTGTGTGAGAGAGAGAGTGAGTGGCAGGGAAAGCGAGAAACCACGACCCCTCCACCAAGACGCTCCCTGAAATAAGGGTGAGGAAATCTTCCGCTCAGCGCTCAGGGCCATGACTCACTGAGAACCTGGCTGCGTTTTACGCACGGAGCTGTTTGCCGTTGATTGCGGAAAGTTTTGCGGAGCCACGCGTTATTTTCTCCTTAATCGTGTGGGTTTATTGTCATACAGGTCTGTTGTGTTTGTGACGTGATCAAATTGCCATTGATCGCAGATTGGGACGAGCAGTAAGGACAGGTGTGTTTGTCAGTTCAGGTCCTCATGCACAGGTGTCAGCAGTGCTAATCATCCAGGCTTCAGAGTGCTAATGGATCCGGCTGTGCAGGAATATCTCCTGATCTTCACACGCTGATAAACACTGGTTTCCGTGTTTGCTGTTTGGTCAACAGGAGTCCCACATGTGGGAGAGGGGTCAGGGTGGGGTCAAGGTCGTGGTGAAATATTCATTCCTTTGTGAACAGAACATTTGAAAAGCTAATGTTGAGCAGCAGAAGCCACAACCATTGTTTATATGGTGTAGAACTATAAACTGTGAAACTATGGGCGATAACACAAATACCGTCTTTTCTCTGCAGGGGGAGCTTGAATACAGTTTTTACATCGCAATCAATGGACAGAATGAACTGGTCCAAAACAGTTCTATGAAAATCCAAGGTTTGATTTTGTTTAGAAGAGACAACTATAAACCAGCAGCCAATCACAGCCAAGTTCATTCTGTGCTTAGTATTGTACTAAAGTGCAGAGCACCAGTAATTCTGAGGAGCTGTACACCTGTAACAACATTGTGACAAAACATCTCTGCTGCCAAATTTTTGATACATGAACCAATAAAAATGGTCAAAAACTCTCATTCTGAACTCAGGTTATCCTAGCTCCTCCGAGGCTAGGCTAATCAAACACACCTACGTAGCTAAAATAAATGGAGTTGAATTACTGAAACCTTATAGATTTATTTATTGTTTATATCCAATGTCAACCACTTGCAGTTAAAGGTTAATCAGGTGAAAATACAGTCAGAGGGCCGTGTCCCTGGAGATTAAGTTGGTGATTATTATTATTAGCATAAATATTATTGTTATTAGTGGCGCTTTGGCCCAGAGGCAATGTCTCTGTCATTGGTGTGGAACCCCAGGGTTCACCTCCTGGACAAGTTCGAATCCCGGTTAGGGCGGTTAATACCTTCCAGTGGACTCACCACCCGCAGGAAGGTTTGGTACGGTGCAATGTGATTTGGGTGGCGACTGCTGCCCCCGCGACCCGGTAACGGATAAGCGGATGAAAATGGATGGATGGATGGATTATTGTTATTATAAATGTGCTCAAGCCTTAAAATCCTTTTCAACATTTAGGGCTGTAAAGTTTCTGGATAGATACATTGCATACATTCACACTGTTTGTAACCATGGCAGGGGAGTGGGGGAGGGATGGGGGTGTGGGGGTTAACCATCAAACACTATAACTTGAAACAGCAGGGCTACATCGGCTGTACGTCCCACTGAGCTTCAGTTTTCCGGCTACAGCTCCACTCTGTAGCAGTGGAATCTCATCAGGAGGTATTTTCAGGCACCAAAGACAACCAGGAAGGAAGAAAAGAATTTCCATCATCTTTACCTCAAATTTATTTTTCCACATAAGTAAATGCTATGTCCCACACGTAACATCTATTTGAAATTGATTCCCTTGATCATTTGTCAATGTCACTTTGATGTTTATGTGGAGATATGAGAAAGAGGGAGAGAGAATGAAATCCGTCCTTTTCTTAACAGCGTATTATGATTAAGGCTGCTCCTGTGTTAATGAATTGTTGTGTAATGAGGTATCTTAGGCAGTACAGGATATGGCTTATCTGACAGCTCGCACGGAGGCTGGTATTGATGATGCACACTCTGCCACTTCCCTTTTATTCTCCCAAGGGCAGCACACTCACGAGCATGTGTAGGCGTGTTTGCCGTTTGCATACTTCCCTTCCAGTGTGTGTCCTGTTTGTTTAGCTCATTTGTGTGAAGCAACCCAAAAGCACACATGTAGTAACTGACTAGGCCTGTAACCCTGTTGTGTTCATCAGCATTCACGTGTGGCTGCCCGGCCAACACACACACACACACACACACACACATGCACACTGTTCGTTTTCTCCTCCGCCCTCTGCCTTACCCTGAAGAGGATAATGCTAGGCTGCTTGATATGAACAGTCATCTCTTGGTGTGTGACCTGTTATTGTATAGGTCTCACACAGCAGGCAGGTTGGTGTCCACCTTGTGTGGAGTCTGTTACCACTACATGCCTTGTAATTGACAGCAGTTTCGGCCCCGCGGGCCCAGTACCAGCTGGATCCTGAGATCCAGATCCACCGCCGACTAGATCAGTGCCATACCGCGAATGCGACGTGCTGTGGTGGAGGTTGATGTTTACCAACAGGTCGCGTCGTTAACATATTATCCACCGTGTCTCATGTGGCAGTTGCAGAGCCAGGGAAAACAGGCTGTTATGCAAATGACCCTTTTGCGTAAGCGCTCGCAGCTGAGCAGCAGGTGACGGGAGATGAAGGCAGCGAGCGGTGGAGACAGAGAAGAGGGAGATGTTCTGGAATGGAAGAGTTGATGTGAGCAGAATGTGGGAGGAGAGGCTGTGGAGGAGGACGGTGCCGGGCTTCTCAACCGAAGTGTGTGATATGTGCTGCGGTTGTTGTTTGCTGTTTGGATGTGTGTTTATCTCGACTTTTCTGTCTGTTTCTTGTCGCTCGGCCTGCCTGCTAGTCTGTCTCTTCTGAACTCTGATCTCGCTCGCCTAAATACAAACCCCTGCTGAGGGATGTGTTTATCCCCGCAGTGAGTGTAAGCTGCTGAAGGCTGACCCTCCATCCCTGTGTACTTCCGTCCATTCCTCCCTCACTTTATCCTCCCATCCTGGTGTGGAGCTTTGTACCACAGCAGCGTGGGAAAGCTTCTGATAACAAGCGGCCTTGTGTGTGTGTCTGTCTGTGTGTGTGTGTGTGTGTTTGCAGAGCCACTGATTACATGGGAGAAGCAAGATGTTCTCTTTTTCTTCCTCACTTGCACGGTCCCTCCCACTGGTGTGTGTGTGTGTGTGTGTGTGTGTGTGTGTGTGTTTGTGATGTGTTTATTTCCACGGCCAAGCTTTGATGGGGAGAACATGTGAGGTGCTACCAGTGCCATGGAGCTTAAATGCTGAGAATCCTCAGCAGAGCAGTGGCTGGCTCAATGTGCATCACACACACACACACACACACACACACACACGTGTAGACCCACACTCAGCTCCATTCTGGATTCACTACTGCTCACCCGAGGGATTTCCCGTGATCAAAGCCAGACTTTTGTTAGCCCAGGTGTTACAAAAAATTGAAACAAAAAAAGGAGGAGAAGCTGAAGGTGAATGCGGTCACATTTGAAGTCCACAAGCTGTGGCATTAAAAACAGCCACAGTGAGAGTGCCACCTGTTTAGGCTCTGTTATAAATGAGCCTGTTTAGACGCAGGCCTATGATAACGCAGGTGTGATTCTTAGGTGTCGAACATGACACAAAGAAGAGACACACTCTGGTTGAAAAGTTTTAAAGCCGTAGAGCGGTATGTAAATGACAGAGAGCCAGCCAGTAATCACAGCCAAAACAGCCCACGGATAATGAGAATAAAGCAAAAGAAAGAACGAGGGGGAAAACGATGCAGCAAAGAAAACAATGCTAAAACGACAAGTAGGATTCGATATATGAAGTAGATTAGATTTTATGAATCTGAAGGCTGGTTCTGACTCCAGACACAAATCAGATTGAGAGCGAAGCAAACAACCCTGGTCCCAGAAAAAGCTTTTATCATATTTTATAAGGAATTACAGCATCCTCCTCCACAATAGAATTGTAAATTTACTCATCAGTTAGTATAAAAAAAAGGTTTTCTAAATTAGTATACTGTTGGTGACTATGTCCATAATAGCAGCATGGCAGTGGTTTGAGTCCTGATTGCTTTGGTTTCTGCCAGTACTCCAGCTTCCTGCCACACTGATGTAATGTGTGCTGGTGTCTCTGTATGATATAGACGTGACAGGCTGTTGAACTGTCAGGGATGTACTCCAACACCCCAGCTGCCCCCACCCTGAAAAGGACTGAAAGGTCATGCATATTCAGCTGCAGTTTCTACCTGCTAACTTGACTGTATTCCTGACATGACATGGAAAATTCAGCAGTACAGTAGGTGCTTGGTCACGACCCGTTCTTCCTTGCTCAAGATTAAGATTTTTTTAAATATGGTCCATGTTCTTAGTTGACTAAGAATTTCATTTGTATTTCCTTTCAGCCCTACTTGGTCCCTTTTTGGAGTGTGTTTCAGGGTTGCAGTGCAGGGTTTTTAATTAATATGTGAGCTTAACTCTACCTACTTCCTGAAGTTTCAGGGTTTATAAAGAGACCTTTTACCACACAGGCAGCCCTCCTCTCCAGAGAATATGGCTTTGCAATATAACAGTGCTTTAGGTTTTATATATAAATATAACTTTCTGTTTTCCAGCTCCCAGCATTGCGTGGGCACTCAAACGCATCACCGGCTTTAAAGTGGCCATTGTCTCCTGTAAAAATTCTAGTAGTAAACGGACTTTGCTGATGCAAGCAAATATCTCCTGAGAGTAGAATAAATACTCTGGAGTAATTAGTGGTGATGGTAATGGAATGATGCCCTGTTACACAGGGCTTTGTTAATCACAATTACGTCGTCAGGGTTACAGCAGAACTGTCACATCTCTGACTCAGTAGCTGGTTTCATCCATGTGACAGAATCTTGGGCGGGAGATGGACTCCTGGTGCCCAAAACCTTATGGAAAATGATGGTTTCATTTTGGCATCAGACCTGATTGTATCATCTATTTGCAGGAGCGTAGTGTACAGTCAGTCTAAAAGAGTCAAGAGAAAGGAGAGGAGATCAAAGGCAGCCTCCCATGGAGCAAGGTGATAAATACAAGCCCACAGGTGGAGCAGCAGCAGCAGCAGCGGTGGCGTACTATTTAGAGTTGCACCCTAAATAGACCTCCCAGTAGGTGAAAGAATTATGCAACCTCAGCTGATATATCAGCTGATGGGGCTGTTTTCCAATGCTGCGTTTTAGGAAAAACAAAATGGAGCAGAAGAACAAAAAACAAAACAAATAAAAAAAAGGACAGCATCAGATCAAACACCTCTGCTGGGCAACTGTGGTACCAGAACCAGAACTGGGTTTTTGTTATCTTCACCAATCAGAGGGGAGGCCTGTGTTCTGTATTCAGTCTATGGTTGTTGTTGTGTGTGTGGCCACATCACAAAACCACTAGGACGTTTGCTTCTTCAGCTTCCAGTTGCCTTCAAACATAATCTACTGGCATTCGATGAAGACGAACCCAGACAGAAAATGCAAAGACAGACAATGAGTGATCGCAATATTAGGTGCATCTGCCTTTGTGTATTTGGGATGTCTTTACTTGCGGCTGAATTCCAAAGGATTAGTAAGTGGCTAATCTGAAGCTCCAGTCTTTGACAAGCCGTGTGTCACTAATCTCAAACACTCCAGAATAAAGAGATGGAAACACAATCACCCTTTGGATTAAACCTCTCCACACAGATGCTTCTGAAGGGTGGAAGAAAATCGGAGAAATTGATGCAACTCTCTCTGTCACTCTCTCTCTCTTTCTCTCACACATACACACACACACACTCTCTGACGTCTCAGATGAACCCTTGTGCTCTAGAAGTTCATGTATTGTACCCTCTCTTAACAACTCTTAGCCTACATAATGTTCTTTTGATGTTATATGCCCTTTTAGCTGACAGCTTCTTTTCATAGGATTCCCACAGGAGTGCAGTCTGGAGACTTGCTAGCACATGTTACAGTAATCATTTTTAACAGAGATGAAGATATGGAGCGCCGTGACTCCTGCTGCTCCCTCAGCTCTTTTCACCCAACTCTGATATTGTTTGGGGACTCTGCGTCTGTTCTTGACACAAATTAATTCATCCAAAGCAAAGTGCGGCCTCTCATCGTGGACAAAGACGTTATTGCACACAAAGCCACTAGACCAGAGGAGCCTGCACATCCAGGTACATGTCAGTGTACACAAAGAGTCTGAGAAACACCGCAGTGTAAACAGAGAGCAGGGAGGAAACAGCAGACAGGAGCGCCATTGATAAAGGCTGTTTGCTATAATTACATAGACTGAAATAACAAGATACACAATTTATGCTGTTATTCATTTTTAACATTTAACAATCCACCATCAAACCAGCAATTTGTTATTTATTAATTGAACCTCTACTGTTTCATCCAAAATACTTAAAATTTGTTTTAAAGATATTTTGAAATACGAAAATACATTATATATTATATAACTACAGAAATGTCATAGCAGTATTTTTCAACAGTGTTTTAGTTTTATCTTTCCTTCTTTTTTTCCCCTCCCATCTCTTTTCCCCTTTTCTCCTCTAATCTCTCCTATTCCACCTCCTCCTTCTCTCTTCCTCCCTCCCCTCTCCTCTGATTACCCGGCCCTGAAGACCATTAAAGTGAAAATCCAGAGTTCATAAACAACAAATGAACTCCATATTCCCCGTGATCCCCGTCACCATTCATTGTTCCCAAATCATTGCTGCCATACCATTAAGCATTCCCTAAAATTAGATGTTCCTCTTTTAATGACGACATTCTTCTCCTCTGGACGGCTGTTCCACGCTGCTAATTAGACACATAACTGTTCACATCTCAACTATGCTTTGGTTTTTATTGTGTTGTGGCTTTGAAATGCTGCTGGGTCGGCTGTATTTGCTCTCTTCACATTGATGGACGTCTTTAATATCAAACAGAACTGATTTAGTGTTTAATTACTTGAGTGGTGCTTATTTAACAACATGAATAATAACATTGAAATCAGGATTTACTGCAGCCACAAATCTACACTTCCATGCTCACAGTCCCAAAGGATGCCCGGAAGAATCTCCAGCTAATTGAAAGATAATTCCCTGAAAACATATGTTCTCTGCTAATTGACTCTCTGTGTTCATGTGTTTTTAACCACGTGGTCACAGAGAGTCACGTTTTAGTGATTGAGGTGTGTTGCTTTTTTTTTTCTTACTTGAGTAGCACAGATATTAAACACATCTTTTTCTGTCAAATTATCACCTTTTTTTCCCGCCGTGGTTAATGTGCAGCGTTTGTTCTAACCTTTGGTATTTTTTACACCAGATACTTGGTACAAATATGCTTGTTCGGAACAATATAAAACCTGTGGGAGAGTAGTGAGAATTCTGTAAAAAGGTCTCTGTGTCTGCACAGAATATAGTTAAGGCCTGTAATTAAATGATTACTTTTGAGAAATTCGGGGTTTGAAATTTCATCCACCAGAAAAGGTTTCACACCGTGAACCTAACACCTGTGCAAGTAAGAGCACACACACACACACACACACACACACTCACACTCCCATAGAGAGGAGAGAGAACAGAAACTCACACACTCGTAAAGACCTCGAGTTTTTGTTGAAGGTCGTACTAACGTTGTGCACTGTCAAACTCCAATATTTATCGAGATGGAACAGAATTAGAAATTGATGTATGCAATGCACTCCAAAAAAGTTGGGACACAGGTGGAGTGAGACTGAGAAGGCCAAACGAAAAACATTTGTAGGGAGGGTATTGACAAGGGCTGTCGAAAAATTACACATCAGCTTGGGGAATTCATCAGAAAATTTCAATCTTTCTGTCCTTGCAGCATTCAGTAAAAAAAAAAAAAGTATTTTTGGTCAAATTTAGGAATGTTGTTTTACCAAGATTATTCAATATTGATAATGATTAATCATGATTCGAATCTTGATTAATACAAATTAATCAAGGGCTACCGTGTGATTATCTTATAAACATTTTAGTTAGCAGACTAGTTATGATCTAAATGACGGTTCGGTTTTCCTTAATATTAAAAAATGCCTGCCAGTTAAAAAAAAAAAGTAACACCAATTTAAACACATTTTCTTATGTTATAAAGAGTCTGGAGAAATTGCTAAAGTAACACCAATTTATATAGTTATAAAGAGTCTGGAGAAATTGCTAAGATTTAGAAACTGCTGCTGAATGTGCATGACCTTCAAGACCCTTTTTTTAAACATTCGAGGGGGTGGACGAACCTTTCTGAGAGGATATCAGCCTTTGTGTTTTGGGTGATCCAGTTTAGTGTAGACCACACCTGCACCACAGGAGTATTTGTGGTATAAGAAGATTCTTGTACTTTCAGGCATGCAGCTGATCTTTTACCAGTCTTCAGTTCCACTCCAGTCAGTCTCTGTGGCCTGCTGTGGTGAGGAGGGAAGACTGAGTCAAGTGAGACAGTTTATAACTGTTAAAAAGCAAATGAACTGAGACCTTTGGTCTGAGCCGTTGAGTGGAAGCATACATAATGAGCCTTAGGGATCACTTCCACACACAGTATTGTGCAGACTGTGTGTGTCCAAGTTGGCAAACACAAAACTCACGTAAACTCACACCCCCTCCACCATCTGTCTCTGTTTGCTACAGCGTAAGCCCATTACTGCTGTGATAAGTGTTGTGGTGCTTAAGCTCAGGACTGGGACTAGATGTGGACATGCTGTCAGGTCTTGTGACTGGACTTGGCACCAGTGAAACGCATGGAAACCTCGTCCAGAGGAAGAAAAGTGATAACGCAATATAAACTACAACTGTATGTAAATTCCAAATTCGGACGTTTCTACTTGTGGAGTGCTTGTCAGGGTCTAATGAGAACCTCTGTTTTCAGGTTTAGATAAAGTTAAATCAATTTTAGACGTAAATCTCCCAGCAGGGTCAGCTGTGTATCAAGATGGGCTACCTGATGAGGTCTCATTAATGTATCAGCAAATCTGACTTCAGACGTTAGCCAAGAGTGTGTTCCGAGTGTTCCGGGTAAAGGTGCTGCTATTGGTTGATTAAATGTCCTCTCCTTGAGCTATCTAAAGAACCTAAACATAAAGGAGACTTGTTCATGTCTTCTCTCAGGTCCACTCCAACCAACAACAAAAAAAAACAACAGAACAGCTATTGTTCAATAGCGTTCAATACGGCAGAACACAACAGAACAGCCATTGTTCAATAGCGTTCAATACGGCAGAGTCCGACCTGGACCCGTACTCCACCACAACAATGGCAACAGTCATCTTTGTCTGAAACGCTGTGTCACGTTTCCAGCTGTACTTATGCTCAATTCGACTTCTGTTGTTGGTGTTAAGGTCAGAAACCTGAGATGTTTTACCAACTTCTCTTCTTTTCTTTCTGCGTGAGAATTTGTAGGAACTTTTTTTCTCCCCCGTTGGACCCACAGTAAACCTGCACCCTTCCAGAACTAATGATTTTTATACTTTGGCCGAAAGATTTAACACTTGCCTCCGTGGATGAATCTGGGTAAGGTTCGGCTCAGTAGTTTTATAGCTATGTCATCTGCAGTTCTAATCAAAAAGATTCCCCAGTTCTAAACCTCCTGCTGAGGAAACAAAGGAGTTATTATGTTTTTAAGTGGTCTCCAATTACGGGTAATTTCACTGCCTATCTTAAAGCTATTTGCTTTTCTTTGACTTTGCTCTGGCTGAGCAGAGCCAACGTCGTGCTTTCCAAAAACAAGTAGACAAGTCAGACATACAGCAGATGCACTCTCTTGGAAAGCCTCTCCTAATTTCTTATCATGGAAAATGAGAAACACAGTTAACTTAATTGCTCCTGTATCTTCCTCATTAGTGTGTGTCTCACACACACTCAATTACTCAGACCATCACTCTTTCACTCCCACAATTCCTCAGCCTTCAGTGACTGCAGTGAATCAAATTCTCATCCACTGAGGAAGCAAGAAGAGTTATGAGTGAGGAAAGTACGAGGGTAAAACTGTGTACTTGTGTGTATCAGTTGTATGTTTACTGGCGTTGTTCTTTAGAACTACTTTTCACAACATACATTACTCAATGACCTTTGTACGTTAATGTGAATTTATTAGACTGATGTTAGCTTTGATGGATGCTCTGGGTTTTGGCAGCAGTCATTTGTTGTTTTGTCAGAATGATTAGTTTAGAGAATTGTTATCACTCCGGGTAGCGCCGTTGTAACAGTTGAAGTGATGTCGCTACTCCATCTGAAAATAAGGGGAGTGAAAAACTGGTAGATATACCAGATACATTTACTAGTGTCAGTAGCTGACCCTCTACATATCTGAAATACCCATAACTGTACTAGAAAATATGCACAACTCCAGCAACCCACTATTCATACACCAGTAGTTTGGGGGTATTTTACATACCACACACACAGACACGCACACACACAGATTGTGGCTAAATGTATAGACCCCAAGATCTTTGCGGAAGACATTAATAATGAAAAAGTACTAACCACAATTGCAGTGAGCTGCTAAATGGTGTCCTGCTCTTCAGGACTAAGCGCTGACCCTAAAAGCATTACCCATAATGCCCTAATTACCCTAATCCTCACCTCGTTATAATTGAGCTTCTAACCAAAAATAAGGCATATTCTTAGTCTTTAGCCACAGCTTCTCAGTGCAGATGGTCAGCCCTCTTCAAGGTCACATGACCTTGACACTCCATATTCCTGGAGCTACATTTAGCCATAAGGCATTTGGCTGGCGGAGCTGAGGCAATTTCTGAAATTGATTTCATTCCAAATGGAGGAAACGAACAAATTCTAAAAATATCTGCAGATTACAAACAACACATAATCCCCAACTAGTGACATGGTAGAAAATTTGATAGATACAGTCATTTCTACACACTGCAATCATGGTGAAATGTGATACCCTGCAATGCAGAGATTATTGCATGGTATCAGTATTGCACATGGCAGCAAGAAATGGTTTGCCTCTAATATGAAATAATGAAAAAATTCCTGTCAGCATTGAATCACATGATCATATCCACATGGATATGATACTAGGTACTGGATACTATAATGTGTTTTTGTATCTTGTATTGAAATCTGTGGTCAATCTATGTACACGCTGATGACTGAATATTTGCAATAGTTCTGAGCAAGTCCTTTAAATTGATTTGGTGTAATTTTGAAGAAACAAAACAACCATACCGGATCGTATTCACAAGTAATCACATCAGACTAATACTGTTGGTATTCTTTATAAAATACTCACAGTGATTGAATATGTCTAAATCAGTTTAGTAATGGATACGTTTACTAACGAGCTCTCTCTGGCTACACATAATGTAGCTTTAGTTGTAAGTAACATTGGAACTGATAAAAGAAACATTATCAGGCATTAGTTTGATTGCAGTGCTGTATTTTAATTAACACTGTCGTGCTGTTGGCAAGACGGGCTGAGAGACACATTTAAGTGGGAAGTGTTGATAAGGATATACTTCTGCATGGACTGCAGTGCATACAAATAAACTGGATTTAAGGTTGTTTCGACACCACAGAATGTGTTACTGTAGCCCCCGTTCAAATACAAAGTACAAGTCAAATAGTACAAGTACAAAATCAAATAGTTTGTTTTGCACTTTTGTTCTTTTTTTTTCCCCCAACACATGACATTGTAATAAACATACTGTATTCATTATTTGAAAACCGCTGGCAGGGCTTTCCAGATTTATTAGCATAATGAATAGTTTAATCCCTGAAGTGTCAGCGGTGCTCCTCCGCTCCATTAGATACTTGTCATTCCAAGCAGATCACCTTTGATGGGAGAGTTACAGGAAGGAGACAAAGGGAAGGAGAATGTGAAGGAAACAGAATGTGCGCCAGTGTGAGATGGTGCGAGTTTGAGCTGTGCCTGTGGCTTGGTTGAGATCCAGAGTGACGTGTTGCCGACCACTGCTGTGCCACTGCTGTGTGTCCTCTTACAGCAACACTTTGATAAGATAAGTGAGACAGGGATTGGTTAAGGGCGTGAAGAATGAGGGAATTTGGGGAACGTTAGGGGGAGGAGGAGGCAGCAGGGTGGACGATGCTGAAGAGAGGGATTCCTACATCCCATGTGCTTCCCCTCGGTGGTAGCTCAGAAAAATGGAGCATAGAAATTTCACATAATAGCTTTATGAATATATCACTTATCCACCTTTACAAGAAAGACAAACAAAACCTTCACTGTCCTGTTTTGGATATAAACCAGCGTGTAGTTGCTCCAGTCACCATCTAATGCTGATTTGCACTGTCAGACAAAGGCGCTGCTGAAATTCAACCATTTCAACCAGTTTTAACATGTCCATAAATGGTCCTAAAGTGGTGATGTTTCAAAAGGTCTTTTTTATTTTGCCCTTTGAAAAGCAGCCTGAATAATAAATGGATGGTTCTCATATTTTTTCCCCAACACTTTTTTCCCTAGAATAATTGTGACTGAAGCAGTAAAACTGCCGAAACGTGCTGTGAAAAGCTTTTGATGGCAGCATTTTCTACTTCTAAAAAAAGTAAAGCTTACTCATCTTGTAGGCTAGTGAATTGTGCTACACCTATACCAATCGCTCTGTCAAAAGTTTCATTTTTACAGTCCAAAAGGAAAGCAGGGCTTTTATTCTAACTTTAGTCTCACTTTTCCGAAACATATTTGTGTATCTCCCTTTGTCTCTCCTCCCTCACCTTTTGCTTCCGTTCCTTATAATCTAGGATGTTTAATTTTTTTCTCTCGCTCTCAACATCTCGCCGCCTAGCATCACCCGGGGCTTTCATCTTGGCAGGGTGCTCCCTTTATGAGAAAACTCCAATTGGCAGACAAGCGGCCTTGTCAGACACCATTCATTGCACTTGCACAGATATGAAAAGTGTTTTAACAAGCACCGCTGAGTTTTGCTGTGCTGCAGAAACTGCATACCAATGGGATTGCAGATCTGGTGTCCAAATTAAAGAGGCAGTAAAGAATGGACATGCTTTCGCTGACGTCCTTGTCCCACAGTGGGGTTCAGTGCGGCATCATCTACAGCAGTAGTTGTTAAAGTTTGGCCCTGTTGTCACATTGGACGACTGTTACCTTAAAGATAGAGATGCAATGATTGCAATTTATTTTCCAGCCGATTACGATTTCCTTTAATTATCAGCTAAAACATAAATGTGTTCTTTTTATTATGATATGAAACATTTTCTGCAAACCTTGTTCAATGAGTCTGCATGATATCAGTCTGTCCACTGAGCAGGACAAGGACATATACATTCAAACTAATTGCTATTCTAAGATTAGGATTAGCCCGCAGCAAAATGCTAATGTAGTTATGACATGAAACAGCCCTGGTAATGTAAGTCAATTTATTAGTGTTTTCAAACCAGGGATGTTCGGCTGGACAACAGTTTTTTAGTGTTAAATTAGCTTTGCCATTCCGAATGATTTTACATATATTACAGAGAGTTGAAACTTTCTTGGCTCACTGTAAAGTACTTATGAGCTACATGACATGTTAGCATCAGCTTGTAAGTGTAAGCTTCCTCCGATTCTCTGAGAAAAAAAAAACGACAACAAATGACGGGCTAGTCAGGAATAAAGAGCGTCTACACAACATTTCAAGTTTTAACAATAACCTCCGATGATTTGAATTCTTATGTGTGCACTGAATAGTGCAGTGTGTGAACAGTAACTGATTCTCCTTTCCCTGTGAAACCCACACAGATCTCAGCCTTGGAGGGTTTTTTCTACCAGAGCAGGAGTGATGCACAAAAGGCATTAATCCAACAGAAGAATGGTGGTTTGATGTGATGCCTTGACATAAACCACCAATGAGAGTTGATGACATACCCATGTAAATTCACTGTCTCCCACAAGGTTTCTTTAATGGGCTTCAATGCTTTTCTGAGCCATGCAAATCATGGACAGGATATAGATTACTCTGTGTTTGTTAGGCTTTAAATCAGGAGGTGCTGAAAGAGGTGCTTCACTGGGGAAATAAGGAGAGGCTCGTGGTTTGATTTAATTTTTCTTTTGAGCCTAACTAAGCTTTTTTTTTTTACACAGACCGTAACAGATATGGTACCCAAGACACCTGTAGGGCTTCAGACTGTGCATTTAAAATTAGCGAGGAACTGATAGCACTTTGTGTTCCACACAACAGGGGACTAAAAAAAGGACAATATTTAGAGTCTCGGAGTATTCAGTCAATACCTAACAAATGTGCCCTAAACAATGCTGACTAGTAATGATCGTGTGCTTAACTTGTAACTCATTCAGACAATCCAATCAGACTAATTTATTTCTAAAGCACATTTAAGGTATTGTTTGTAAGGTTTTCTTACGAAATAACAAATATTTTCCCAATAAATTATTTGTGGCCATCAGAAATATAAAGTCAGAAGTTATCATTTAAAAAAAAATTGACTGGACATCAGAAGGATATAGTGAATTTGGTGTTTGTTTTTAAGAACAACCTGGATTACAGTCTTTAGATGAGGTAAACAAGCATGTTTTAATGTAATATTAAGGAAAGGCTATTATTTATTGCAACTATTACTACAGTACTACTAAAAATTATGAAACATGAGGAAAACCAAACTAATATTTTTAAATATGTGTGAATGGCAGTTTGAGTTCCCCCTAGTTCTATTTTAGCTGCTGTAGCAAAACCAAGTGGCTGGAATTTGGGAAGCTCTATCCCGAAAGTAGCTTGATCTTCTGTCAGTGAGAGCAGAGGAACTAAGTGCTTGGAATGAGTGGGTGTCATCATAATTGAGTGTTGAACATGATGTACAATGATATAAGCCACGAGGATACTGGGTCTGATAGTGTATGAAGTGCCTGCTTTATAGACTGTGACATATCATTTCTTCCGTTCGTAGTGATACAGATCATGTTGTTCCCTTCAGAGAGCAGCCAGCCTATACTGATGGAAGTGTGACCCCAGCAAGCTTCACCCTCCTCTGGTTCTTATGCTGTGTCCTCTACACTGTTTGGATGAAGTGGGGAGTTTTGAATAATAATCTGCACCAAGGTTATATAGATCTGGATGGAGAATCATTTGCATCATCTCTCCGAGAGCTCAGGCCAAGAATGTTTTCCTAGGCGAGCCAGCAGGTGTTATAGCGTAAATTTAATGGCCAACAACTCCTCTTGAAAATGAGGTCACAAACAATGCATGGAGTTTTATTGCATCTATACAGTGCATACACCCTTGCTTTAATGGCAATGTCAACAAATACGAGCAGCTCAGCGTTAAGAGTTGGAAATCTTAAAGTTCTACAACACAGGTAGAAAAAAAACAAACCCCTACAGAAGGTCACGTGTACATTTTGACTCACAAGGCCAGGGTCTGCAGTAAAACCACAGAGTGAGGCCACAGCCGCTGTATACCAGACTGAGGAAGCGAGTCTTGAACCTGTATGGTTTATTCTGTTTGATTGTACCTGTGGCCCATGAATAAAACATTCCAAGGAAGAAATTCTGGGCCACATGAAACCTGTTTACGTGCCACGGGTTAGAGCCGGGACAGGAAAATAAATAAGAAAATGTGTCGATTTATCTTCTACCTCTTAGGACTTTTTAGCATCACAGTGGAGCTAGAGTCAGCACTCATCAGGGGAAGACAGGGTACAGACTGGACAGGTGGGTGGTCCCTTACAGGGCCAGGGTCCTGATTCTGCATGTTGTTGAACATAAACATAACGTCACATTACTGCAAAAAAATACAGACTTGTTTCGACTGTTTTTGCTCTTACTGCTGTAGGAGAACATGACATGACTGTCTGTACCAACAAGTAAATTAAATCATGGTTCCCATCAGTCAGCAGGCTTACTGGAGTTAGCTGCTCCGCTAGTTGTCAACTCACATCTCCTTCGTGGCAAGCCTTTTCCGATCAAATGTCCAGCCACAGTCTGACTCTTTGTTGCTTGCATTTCCTATACTCACAGTTGAATGCATTAAAGTGTATGTCCTACAGTCTTCTACTGTAGGTAGCCTACTATCATTTAGCATTATTTGATGGTTTCATACTCTGTTATAGCAGTATTTGCAATTGGAAAGAAACATTCCAAATAGGAATTCTGTCGATACTGTGTTATCTGTTATTCAGAGAAAAGAATGTGATACGTTAAAGTTCCTCCAAAATGTATGTTCCTGTAAAGTGAGAGGTTTTAGCCGATCTCCCTCCATCTTTTGTGTTATATGAAGGAATCTGGCTGTTCCCACAGTCTTGGCAAATTCTGCCTTCCCAAATCCTCTTTTCTTTTCTGTTGTCCTGCCAACGCTGAGTGAGAGAGGACAAGTGCTTTATGGACTGGTCATGCATGAGTAATAAGGGGCCCTCTGATTCCTCTGTGTTGTTCCTGCCTTTGTGCCACATATAAACCTGGTCATTATGGTGTGGCCTTAAGTGGCCCCTTCGCTTTGTAGACATTTAGCAACTTAAACTAAGCATATGTGAAGAAAATAACCAAAAAAACATAATCCACTTGTATTTATTTCAAACTTTGTCATTCTCTCCCTGCATCTGCGGTGAAGCGTTACCAACGTTAACTTGCTGAATCTGATTTCACATGCCTCCTGTGATTCAACTGTCACTGTGGACAAACCCACCTAATCCAAGACTAATTAGTTAGTCACGCTTGTTAGCAGGCGTCAGAGGATGACAGTTTTCTGCACAACACAAAGAGTTCATGTAGTGGTTAGGATTATGTGGGTACATTAGCCCAATCTGTGTTGATGTAGTAGCAGAA